TCTATCCCTTCTTATTGTAATTGCTTTGGATTTCGCTTCGTTGACCTGGATTTTGCAGCCAATATGTCCTTTCTCCGCTATTTCAAAGCCCAAACAGCTAGCCGCTGGTGTCAGGCTTCCTTTTCTATATCACATGACTGACCTCCAGTCCTCCCCCTTTCCGTTTCACCTAATATTTCTGCAAAACATAGATCAGGCATTCGGCTGTTTCATGTGCATCCCCCCTCTGCATTTTCCTTTTCTGTACTATATCTCTGAGCGATGGTGTTCACCTTTTTATTGCTAATCACCTTACTTGTGTAATAAAACCTTGAGTACCCCAATAGCTAACCATTGTTATTAGGTGCCTGTTCCCGAACGATGCGCGAGTGGTTTCCAACGGCCGCTTTTCCATGGTAGCCAGATTTGGGAACATCTTTGGGTCCTCTGCTTTCATTCATCAACTCTTTGGATACGATATCAAAAAGCTGACAATTCTTGATTCTTCACCTCCATCTCCTGAATGCAGTAGTATCTACCACAGCTATTGCCCAGTTTAACTCCACGCTTTTAATTTTAGAGATATTCGTAATCCATTGGTGTACTGTAGGTCTTGACGATACTGTAGTATTTCCCTTTTACGTACAAAGATGTGGCGAAATCCGGAATAACTTAAAGTAACCAAATGAATACCTGTTCTTTCTCAATGATTGCTATTGTTCACATTGGAGCCCGGATGCAAATTCGAGATTTTTATTTCAGTAGCGAACCTCGTTTTGTTTTCAGGTACTCAAAACCGTTGAAGACGTTTCCAGCTGTGTTTAAGAGCTTTCAAAGAAAGTGCGACTGATTGTCAGTTGCAGTTCTTAATTTTTCTTTCATTCGCTCGTTGTTTCCGGGGATTTCTCTGCTCTGTGTTCTAAACGAGTATGGAGCTGTTCATGAGCAGCTATGCACATGCTATTCAAACGCTCCCCGGGGAGCTGCAGACCAATATCACGGCTTATCTACAGTCCGATTTACAGCATCAACATTTACTTGGCCTGTGCAAACGTTACGTAGACGAACTGAGGCAGTCAACAAATTCTGACGGTCATAAACGACTGTTACAACAATTGGTCATTTCTTTGTTGGCTATTCAGGATATTTGTGATCGTCGAATCACAAATTTGGATGAGGTAAAATGCTCATTTTTGCAGTCAATTCGTTTTACATTTTTTATTGATCACCTGCCTGTACTGTACTCAATCGTCCAACGGTTTTCATGCAGTTAGCATACCTTCATTGCTGTGCGAGTCTGAATACATTGTTATTACTGTCCATCACGATGAGATTGCACCTTAGCTGGGTGTTGCTTGTGCATCTGTTCATTTGGCGTGCAACCTCAGTCTATATGTATTTTTCATCTTTACTTTGACTCCGCTTTCAAGATTCCAATCTTGATTCTGCTCTTTTATCCAAATGGGTAACCAAAAGACAGCATCCAAAACCGGCGCATGAGAATGCATGGTTAATGGTTACGAAACTTGAAACTGAGTTATTCACTCTCTCGATATAACTGTGTTACTTATAAATTTATTTATTGCATTGATTCACCCTTCTTCAGATGGATCGTCTGGTTGATGGCCACATGCAGAAGCTAATCACCGCCCGTGCCAATTTGGCAACAGAGCCGTCACAGTCTTGCGCGTCTGGTACGGAGAACACCGTAGAAAGTGAATTGGACGTAGACGATCAAACTGAATCTGAGTCAAGGAACGGAGCCACTCAATCACTTCACTTGCGTGACCAGACACACGGAGATGAGACCGCAGTAAAGAATTCTGGTTACGATGAACAAGTGATTGACGGGCGGCCTGTTACCCAGTCAAATTTCAAACGAAAAGTTCGGTTACCGTTGCGCAACAACCCTCAGCTAACTCGTTCCATGGGTTCTCGTCGAGTGCTGAGTCGATGGGATAGCGGGGCCTCTCGTCGACGTGCTGCCCCATCCAATCTTACCGGGTCGAAGAAGACAGCCATTCAAGCCCTTCGTCAGCGTTGCATTAACGATCAACGTTCGCGCGATCGTGCGACCACAGAACAGCGACATAAACTCGGTGGAACTTATTCGCGCTATACAAGTGCTCAGCAATCGCATCACACCCAACAACAGCAGTCATCACAACAGCGTCAACACCAGCAGCAANAGCAACGCATTAAAAACTCGCGTGTTTTACAACGTTCTCTACATAATTCCAAGAACCGCTCGGCTCATCTATTTGATTCGGCTAGGCGTCGTTCGACAAGCGCATCGAAAGAAAATAAAATTCAATCAAGTTACTTGACGTCTGGTCGTCGTTTGGGCACAAAATTAACTCGAACTCCCGGAATGCGTCTGTCTGGTCGTAACAGCAGTCATCACAACAGCGTCAACACCAGCAGCAACGCATTAAAAACTCGCGTGTTTTACAACGTTCTCTACATAATTCCAAGAACCGCTCGGCTCATCTATTTGATTCGGCTAGGCGTCGTTCGACAAGCGCATCGAAAGAAAATAAAATTCAATCAAGTTACTTGACGTCTGGTCGTCGTTTGGGCACAAAATTAACTCGAACTCCCGGAATGCGTCTGTCTGGTCGTAATGAGTGGTCCAGCTCGGATCAGTATTATTTCGACGATGGTGGCACGGAAGCCAACACTCGTTC